AACTGTGGCAGGCAGGGAGCCATTGGGATGAATCGGTGCCGCAAGATATCCACACGCGCTGGTCAAGGTTTGAGCGGCAGTTAACCGACTTAAGGAAATTGCGGGTTCCTCGGTGTGTGAAATTCTCCACGAATCCACAACGCGTGGAAATACATGGGTTCGCCGACGCCAGCCAACGGGCGTACGGAGCCTGTGTGTACGTAAGAACTAAACTGGACAACGGCCAATACCGCACCGAATTACTATGTTCCAAATCGCGCGTTGCACCGTTGAAAGCGATATCGCTGCCAAGATTAGAGCTATCAGCGGCATTGTTGCTGTCGCGTCTACTGGAAAAGGTTCGCGCATCATGTGATCTAGCCAACATGGAAATCTTCCTGTGGTCAGGCTCCACGATTACACTGAATTGGATAAATTCAGCTTCCAGAAAGTGGGAGGTATTCGTGGCCAACCGGATTGGGGAGATACAACGTACAACCGAAGTAAGGGACTGGCGGCACATTGCCTCAGCCGACAATCCGGCCGACATCTTGTCGCGCGGACTCTACCCATGTGAACTAGAGGACGCGGGCTTGTGGTGGCACGGCCCTGCATTCCTGCAATCTCACAAGAATTGCTGGCCAAGCGGAGACTTCACCCGCCTGGGGGGCGAGGTTCCCGAAGAGCGAAGAACAGTAGCGGTCGTCCTCATCGCCGACTGTTCGATCATCAACGAACTACTGGAAAAACATTCCAGCCTTAACAAAGTATGCCGCATCCTGGCGTATTGCCTCCGATGGCGCCAGAGGCATCGATCGAGCGCACCGACGAAATTCGTCTCACACGGCGAGGTAACTTACGCCCTCGAAGTCGCGTGTAGAGCGGTGCAGAAGGCAGCTTTCCCCAACGAATACAACCAGCTAAGCAAGAATGGAACCATCAGCGCATCTAGTAGACTGCTGCCTCTAGCTCCCTTCCTCGATAAGGACGGATTAATTCGTGTAGGGGGGAGGTTAAAAAATTCTGGTTTGCAATTCGACGCGTGTCATCCCATATTGCTTCCGCGTGAGCATGAACTAACGAAACGCGTAATAAGCCAAGAGCACGTGCGCAGCCTGCATGCGGGAGCACAAGCCACTATGGCCGCTGTCAGACAGCGTTTTTGGCCACTTTCCCTTCGTTCCGCCGTGCGAAAAATTGTTAGAAATTGTGTGATATGCTTCAAGGCCAGACCGATTCAGTCGGAGGCTTTAATGGGCTCGTTGCCGACCAGCCGCGTCACCGTATCAAGGCCATTCTCGCAGTGTGGCGTGGATTACGCCGGCCCGATCATTTTAAGGGAGGGAAAACGACGCAACGCCCGCAACCACAAGGCGTACATTTCGATTTTCGTATGTTTCGCAACGAAAGGTGTTCACATCGAATTGGTGAGCGATTTAACCTCCGAGAGTTTCGTGGCGGCGTTGCGGCGTTTAATTTCCCGAAGAGGCAAGCCCTCTTGTATATATTCCGACAATGGCACCGCCTTCGTCGGGGCCTACAAGCAGCTTAAGGAATTTTATGAATTCCTGAGCGATACTCAAACGCAGAGCGATGTACAGCAATTCCTTCGCGAACAACAAACGACGTGGAATTTTATTCCCCCGAACGCGCCGCATTTTGGCGGCCTATGGGAAGCCGCTGTAAAGTCAGCCAAGTACCACATGTCGCGAATCATCGGTAAGGCCCATTTGACATTCGAAGAAATGTCGACAGTGCTGTGCGAGGTGGAGGCAATTCTCAATTCCCGGCCGCTCACGCAGCTGAGCTCTGATTCAAACGACTTGGCATATCTTAGTCCAGGCCATTTTCTAATCGGTGCCCCGCTCAACAGCATTCCTTGCCACAATGTGCAGGACATAAATGAAAACCGGCTAACACGCTGGCAGAGAGTGGAGCAAATACGCCAGCATTTTTGGCAAAGATGGAGTAATGAATATCTCCACTCCCTGCAGGAGCGAACCAAATGGAGACTCAATAAGGGCATGCAGTTGAAACCGAACCAACTGGTGCTCATTCGACAACAGGGCTTGGCTCCTTTACAGTGGCTCCTAGGTAGAGTGCAGGAAGTGCACACCGGTTCCGATGGCGTCACGCGCGCCGCTACCGTCCGTACGGCCAAGGGGTCATTAACAAGACCCTTGTCCAAACTAGCGATATTACCGATAGACGTAGGTATGGATTAAGTTCAGGCTACCGTTAACAAAGGTTCCTGTGATAGAATCAAGAATTATTTTCGGTTTGGGTCTGTACCCTCGTTATTGTTAACAGCTGCGAGCGTTTTCCAAGTTTGATTCAAAATCGTTTATGTTTTTCCAATGCGTTAATTTCTCATAAGTTAGTTAAGTCTGCACACTGTTTGCGAAAATCTTTTATGTTCCAATTGCGCTAGTTTCTTATAAGTTGGTTAAGTCCAAACATTGTTATGCGACAGTCATTTCGAATTTTGAAAGTGCGTCCTTTCAAGGGGGGCGGCGTTGTATCGTAACTTTGCTTCCCGCGTCATTTATATTTCCCGCGCGCGATTCTTCCCGGGATCTCCCGAGCGCTATCAGAGAAAGCGTCCCCGCCAATCGTATCGGTTCCCTCGCGCACCGCGTGGCAAGCCATTGGCGAATGAGTCCGTTGCCCCTCCACCGCGACGGCAGCGTACTGCAGTCAGTCGTTACCAGTCGACCAAGTCGTTACAAGTCGTTACAAACGAGTACGAGAGTGTCTCTGAGTGTGTGTGCGTGTGTTCCTGCGTGCGAGCGGATCGAGCGTATCTTTTGTGTTATCGCCACGATATCTCAATAAAGCTTCTTAAATTGAAACACGAGTAAGTCAATCGCCTTACTCGACCACGTCCGATCTCTGAGACGAGACCAGAGATTACCTGCGTGGAGGCCACAAGGCCTACCAGAAACAGCGTGCGACCGTGCGACGTTGCCAAGCTGCCACTCAAGACGGCGGCCATGACTCTCGTATCGTATCAAAAATTGCCGAAAGTTCGTCAGAAGTTTCGCTTTATTTATGGTACGGTACGGTCAATCAGTTTGGTTTCGCGTCAGTATCTGTAGAAATGTTTATTGCATCGATTAAATAGTTTTTTATTTGTTCATCATGGCGAGAAGTATGAACGTATTCCACGAATGTGCGATCTGACCCTCCTTTCCCTATTATCAATATGTAAAATTGCCAAAGTTTACGGACATATATCTCCGGAAACAAGCGGTAAAAAAATCCAAAATTTTTCATACACACTCTAGGAACGTTAATCTTGCATTTGATATTATATTTTCCGAGTTATCTTGGTTTGACCTAAATGCAAGAACCACCTTAAGAACTTTGAAGCACATTTAAAGTTAAAGCCGGACGCAAAACCGGTATTTATGAAAAATCGGGCGGTGCCGTTTAAAATTCTGGAAAAAGTAGGAAAAGAATTAGATCGCATGGTAGAAGCCGGGATATTAGAGAAAGTGGAATCGTCTAGATGGGCCACGCCTATCGTGCCCGTGCTAAAGAAAGATGGTTCCATTAGAATTTGCGGGGATTTTAGTGTTACCGTGAATCCGGCTTTAGTAGTGGATGACCATCCCTTGCCCACGACGGATGAATTACACAGCCCCCAAAAAAAAATAAGTGTCGGGGTTCGAGGATCAGAGTACCCTACCCCCATGTATTTTGAGCCGCTGAACACGAATCTGATGTCCGTTTTGCTCCATCACGTCAGGATTTTTTCTAACCTCAAAAAACTTGGCGAATCTTTGGAGGTATACGAAATTTTTTTTAAATTGATGGATTTACATAAAACTTGGTATCTAGGGTAATTTGGGGTCGCTGATTACGAATCTGAAGTTAGATTTTTAAAATTCAAAATGGCGGATCCAACATGGCGAACAAATTTTTCGAAAATTTGTGAATTTTTAGAAATTTTTTAAAAGTTTGATGGATTTGCATGAAACTTGTTACTTGGAAGTTTTTGGGGTCGCTGATTACGAATCTGAAGGTAGATTTTCAAAATTCAAAATGGCGGATCCAAGACGGCGGACATATTTTAAAAAAATTGATAGCTTTTTATGAAACTTGGTACGTAGGGGTTTCTTGGGCCGCGGATTACAAATTTGAAATTATTTTTTCAAAATTCAAAATGGCTGATCCAATATGGATGACAAAAATTTAAAAAGTAATGATTTTTTAAAAATCGGGTATATTGGAGTTTCTAACGCCTTTAGAAAATTATTTGATAGATCTAATCAGGCCTAGTTCAGTCTCCTGTCTAGTCTTCATGACAACAATAATATGAACATAATATCCATGCCACGATATCCTCAGGTGAAAAAATGCATGTAACAATTAAATGGGCAGAAAGTGGCAATTGAGGGTTTGATTTCTCAATAAAGGATACTCTATAGAATATTTCGAGCGAAAGATCAGATTGGAATATTGTGGAATTCAACACGAAATACTTTCTCGAATTAGAAACTTAAGCATTTTCCATTCTAACCAATTGTCATCCAATTAAGATATAAATTATAAATATTTTGTTTGATTTCAACAGTAAAATTGCTTTCTGATAGTTCAAATATAATAAATACAATTTTATTCAAAATTAATTTGATTATTTCATGATTATTTCAACGACACAATTTAAATGCGTTGAATGGTTTGAAGACTATATGTATCACTTTTTGAGACTATTGGATATTCTTCTTTGAAAATTTAAGTCGAATATCTCGAATAAAGGAATTTGAAAAATGAGGTTTTTGCGCCGTTTTTCGAATTTCAGACCACTGTGAGCCGTTCCTATTAGCGAGCGACAACCAAAGGCAAACCTGGAAGGCCGGCCTCAGCGTAACAGAAAACCTCCGGTTAGATACGGAAATTATCTGGCGTCCTTCTAAGGAGATGTCTATGTATATATTGCGTTGGACGCGTCGAGTTCAAGATTACAGGGGGAAGAGCTGATATATATATATATATATATATATATATATATATAGGCATATAGGTAAGCGCGATTTAAAGCATGCGCGTGTTTAAGACCGCAAGCGGGACGTATCGCGGTAACGACCAAGTGCCGAGTTTCGGCTAGTCATGTCCCCTTCTCCCGTGACGACTGGCGGGGAGAACTCCGAACGCGGTAAACGGTCGTTCCCTGGCGAACGGGCAATCGAGATACAGCCGTAGGGGATACCGAGAGAAGGCAAGAAAATATACAGCGTGACAAAAGACACTCGCACCTTTATTCCACCTCGGCCTTATTTCCAATACCTATATCTAAGAATATATCAAAAACATTTACTTCATATATATAAAATTCAAATTGGTATTTCGATGGGGCCCCACTCTCTCCCGTCATCGCTGATATTGTAATGCAAGATCTAGAGGAGACCGTTTTAAATAAAATCAATCTCTCTCCGATTCTATACTATCGATATGTAGATGACATAATCATGGCAGCACCAAACACATTAATTAACGATATCCTAGCAGAATTCAACAATTATCACAATAGGTTAAAATTCACGATCGAGTATGAATTGAATAGAACTATTACATAGTTTTCTGGACTTGCACCCACATAGAAACAAAACTTCTAATGGACGTCCATTATACGTTTGTCATGGAGATTAACACCTTCCAGTAGACGTCTATTAGATGACCAATGAAGGACAATGAGAAATCCATAGTTCCGCATTGCGGACATTCATTGGACCTCCATTATACATCTTTAAAGATGTCCATTAGACGTTCCGTGGATCATTGACATACGGTGCGCGGAGTCTCGATGGACGCCCCAGCTAACAAGCAGTGATGGGGGATCGGGAGACTTTTCTCTCGACAGGAGTCCTTATGCGCATGCGTGAAATGACGTATTAAAGTGAGAGATAGACGAGAACTCTGATTGATTATTTCTATCACTATCTCCAGTCCGCACCAAGAGAATAAGGAGTCAGAGGTTTATTACCTCATTTGCGTGGATCGAGGAATCGCCCGAAACTACACACAAATACCAAACATTATTTTTTGGTCCTTCGAGCCGCATTCGAGCCAGCGACCTGTTGACATCAAGAGAAGGCTTGCCGAGATTCGAAAATCGAGAGGCTGTCCAGGACCATTGGCAATTCCGACGCTGGTCGTGCTGCATTGAGGCTCGAATTCTACAAATTTCAAATTCGGCAACTTGCAATAAAGGCGGACTTGAGACTGCGACGAACACGGACAGCGTCGAGGAGGACGGGAGCGGTGGACTGCTGAGTAGGGTGGATCGAAAAATGGCAAAGTTATATTTTCGATTTGCTATACCGCAGAAAAGTTGCCTTAGGTGTATACAAGCATAACAAAAAAAATTATTAAAATCGGACAACATCTTCCGATCGCGCAAAACGCCGAAAATATTTAAAAAATAACGAATTTGACAGTTTTTCGTAAATTGTTTAATTTTTTAATTTGGGGTTTGTATTTTTTAAGCCTATGGTGCTTAAACGTAAGTAGTAGCATTGAATAGTCTGCAAAAAAAATCACCGCTTTGAAAGCTTATCTTCCGATCGCGCAAAGCGTCTGAATATTTGCAAAAATTGCAAATTTTTCATTTTTTTCATATTTTTTAATGTTTTGTATGAGTATTATCGTAAACGCCAAAGTGCCGAAAAACATATTTCTGAATTTAAATAATGTCTTCCGATCGTGCAAAGCCCGTTAAATTTACAACAGACAGCATAAAACGTTCGTGACATTCCGCCTGCGCCCATCCCGACGCGCTAAGCGGCATGCGGCCAGTTGGGTTATGAGCAGTATTGCATCAGACAGTTGTAACTCAGTCTTTGTGCCGTGCAGTGAGTGATTACAGTTTGCTCTATTACGTGTCATTTTTGAGGTTACAGTTATAAATACTAGGTATCGTGTTCTACATTGATATATTCTGTGGTAAAATGAATACAACAGTGTCAAAGAAAATTACGAAACATTCTTTTGAGTGCCCAATATTCGGTCATCCAAAAGACTTGTTCCAAACTAATCTCCCAACATACGAGGGTGTTCTTCGATGTTGTTTTGAAGTGAGATTTCAGTAAACTAAATATTACAAAAGTGAGTTTTTCAGTTGTTAAGAATTCAGTGGCGAAAAAAGTAAAATTTACTTTTGAAAAAGCGTCTATCCCTACAGTTTCCGATTATAGAATTGTCCAGTTAATTGATGCCTACTATGAAAAGTATTGGAAACTTAGAAAGTCTTATAAACGAGACAATGCTAAACCGGACTTCAAAAAAAGATCGACGAGTTTAAAATCCAAGCAACGAAGCTCTTTGATGTGTCAGCTTGCAAGTGTTTTATGCATGTGAATTGCTCTTGTAATAAGACACCAGAATTGTGTGAATGTCCAATTCAGATTAATTGTACGTGTGAAAAACGTAACAAGATTCCAGTTATTGAACAACGATTTATCTACCTTCAGAGAGAGTATGGATTGGGAAAGATCGGAAGTGTGGATCAAAAAGAAACAACAAAACTAAAAAAGAAGCTTGACAGAAATACCAAAATATTAAAAAGCACCGAATTCAAACCTAATCAAGAAAAAATGATCGAACCTAATGATTATCATTTAGGTGAAACACAGCCACAGCCAAGTTGTTCATCTGATAAACCTGTAACGATGCACCCCGAAAACGCATCGTTCCCGGCGAAAGCCGTTTGCCGCCGAACACCGGGCGAAGGGTGAGCGCACGGCGCTCACCGCCTAAGTCTATCATACGACGCGCTCGCGCGGCGAACCGATCGCCCGCGGGAACAGCCGAGCGCACCCGAGCCGGCGAGACACTCGTGTCGCGCTGTCTCCCGGCCGCGCAAGCGCACGAACACGCTACCCCGATCCGTCTACTCCCTACCAGCCGAAGATTGTTAAAATATAATGACAATTGGGGGTAGACGGGTTATAAAAGACGGGATCCGAAGCCGAAAAGGCAGATTCCGCCGCTAGCCTAGTCAATACCAGCACGAAGCCCGCTCACGAATCCCGATCCGCAAAGCCTGCTCTCGATAACGAGTCGAAACCGAGGTGAGGAGCAACCCGCCTCTGCCGAGTGTTCTCGGCTTCACTCGAAAGACCGCGGACCGAGCAATCCTTATACCGAGCCCGGTAGATACAGCGAGGTGAGGTGTTACTCACCCCAGGGAGTGCAAACTTCTATCTTGATGGGGGGACAGCTATATTGTACCGCCATCTGCGCTTGGACTAAAAAAATACTGAACTAAATCGGTCACGTGATGAGGAGTGGGGATACGCGCCAATAACAAGTTGAAGTGTGCAAAAGCGCGGCGAGAGCAGGACTAGTGAGTGACGACGGTGACGACTTTGAGAGTATCAGAGAGCATTCGAGAGCTACCCCAGCTAACCAGAGCTACAACAAGAGCAAGCAAGAAGCCAAAGGTCAGTATAGCATAATATTTTATCACATCTATACCATTAGTAGTATTAGTAGCGGTAGTAAAATAACTAACCTATTCTACCCCAGTGAGAAATGATTCGTCGATCGAAACGACGTCGAATCGACATTGACACCGTCGAATTGACGTCGATTCGACATCATTTCGACGTCGATCGACGAATCCTTTCTCACTGGGACATACACGTATATACGTGTGTATATATTGCATGCTATTTTATACATAATATATCTAAATAAGTAATTTTCTAAGAGTACTCTAAGCTTTTCAGCAAAAATGGTGTGGAGGTACTGTGTGCCAGGATGCACATCTTCTGCAAGAGTTCCAGGACATAGGCTGCCCGCACAAGATCTTACAGCGCAGAACTGGTTGAAGATAATTGGTTTAGATAACATGATTGGTAAGTTTACAAGAAGTTGATAACTTTATACTTGTTAAAAAATCTTTCATACATAAATATATCTGTAAATTATATACTCAATTAATATGAAAACACGAACACATAAATTAACTAAAATATAATATTAAAATATATTTCTTTATTACAATAAGAAATTAGATAATCACATATTTGTTTTTACTTCTGTATATTAAAGTTACATTTTATTTTATTAAAATCTTAAATATGCTTTTATGTAAATGTAATATAATTCTTTATTCTTATTACAATTCTTAATACATAATATTTCTATGAATTAGATGATGAAATGTTTTGTGCTGGAATATAGTCCAATGTAATTTTATATGTTACTATATGACAGATGCACCACAAGAAACAAAGGCAAAATTAAGGATTTGCGGCTTACATTTTTGTGATGAGATGATTGTGACTTATGGACAGAAGCGGCGTCTCAAAACCAACGCAGTGCCAACATTGCACCTACCATGTGCGAATATTATAGCAGATAGTGATAACACCAGTTTTGCTGATGTTGATACTATCGCTATATTGCCTACTTCAGATGATGTAGGAAGCACATCGAATTTTGAGCCACAGACATCACAACAGGAGGTACCGCAAGTGATAAACATCAAAACTGTCCACACGGTAGATGTTTGCCGTCTCCGTAAGAAAGTACGACGTTACCAAAAAACGCTGTACAAAAAAAAAAGGATAATCCGGAAGAATCAAAAGAAGAAACGTCAAGCAGAAAAAATTAACACTTGGGAAACCATTACTGCAGAATTACCTGGCATTAAAAAGACTTTCATCGAGATGATTTTCCAGAATTTTCGACATGCACCACAGGTATGTTTATATTTTAATACTAAATATCTTGCATATATGTAAATATAGATATAAATATAGATAAATGTAGATGTAGATTTTGTTATAAATGTGTATTATTTTTCAAAATGTAAAAGATGTTTTAGGATCCCGGGAAAAATTTATATATTTAATAATATCTGAGTATATCTAGCTCACATTGTCAAATATAAGCAGATATGAATGTTATCCCTAGCCACTCACATATGTGTAAATGTGAGTTAGATTTTGTTTGATAACACACAAATATGTACAAAATATTTAAAACATTTATTTTAATACTTTATCAAGATATTTCATATAGATTTTCATAGTCTTAGATTGAATATATCATATATGATCATATATATTGTATAAAAATATGACCATATTTTTGTTAAATATTTATAAAGTATTAAAATCAATCTTTAAATATTTCGTACATATTTGTGTGTTCAAACGATGTCTAACTCACATTTACGTACATATAAATGGCTAGAGACAACCTTCATATTTGCTTGTATCATTGGGTTAGATATACTCAAAATGATTATCTTGTAATGCATGTTTAGAAAATATTTTTCTTGCAGTTTGAATAAGTTGTACAACTTTAAAAAATTTCTTTAATAGTATTATTGTAGTTTACCTCGTGTAGTAACATTTTATGTAACTACACCGTATA